TTTGCTATTTTTTCATATCACTTCATATTATTATTATTTTTCAACAGTTTCTTAGTGATTTCTTCCTCAGTACTTAAACTGCTCTTTCGTTCCTTTATTTTTCTTTTTCATGGATGCCATGTTCTTTGGAAGCTTGTTTAGACCAAGTTAATGGGCTTTAAGGCTTCCTCCACGTGAATAGGAGTTCACTTTTTGAATAAGAATTATATGTCACAGGGGGCGCATCAGGATTTTAGAGATACTTAGGTGGGGCATGGCCAAGAAAAAGGTTGGGAACCACTATACTATTCTGTCGGGCCTTAACAGTAATTACATAAAGAAGGGTTAAATGGGAAACACAGGGTTAGCAAATTACATTGGATTCTTTGCTATAGTACTCGGCTTCTGTAATAAGGCCTGAACTCATTTTTCTTGGAAGACCCTTCCAGAACAGTGTTCCGCATCACACACTTGGAGGATGCTATTATAAGTGAAACATCAGGGTAGCAATTGGTTGGGCAATTGTTGGTGTTTAGAGTGGTGATGTCAAGTCATCGTAAGATGTGAATTATACGTTTAGCACACAATGTTTAAGAGGAATACACAATTTAATTTTTTCTATCAAAATGGTTAAATATTTTAGAATTCTAAAGTCTGGAAATGTACTTTATATCTCTAGTTTAGTCTTTATTGATATTGGATACATGAGGCATTATTGTATTTGAAATGTATCTCAGGCCATTCATTATGTGCTAAAGAGGTTTTTCCTACCTGACTCAGTCCCTGGCCCTCATTTATAACATTGTTTCCATGAACCAATATATTCTGAGTCCATGCCTCCCCACCCCTTGCAGCCTATTTGCACATGGACTTTTAAAATATCACACATTTGCAGTTGGAAATTGTACCAAAACAAGCAGTCTGGCCACTGTTAGGTGTTTTGAAGTAAGTTCCAAAAAAGAAATTAGTGAACATTAAATGTCTAACCCAGTGGTTCCCAAACTTACTTGGCCTACCGCCCCCTTTCCAGAAAAAATATTACTCAGCGCCCCCTGGAAATTATTTTTTTTTTAATTTTAATAGCAATTAAACAGAAAGATATATGTATTAATGTTTCTACCTTTTTCGTAAAATATAGTAAAGAAAGGTGTAAATTAGAAACATTGAAGTTTGAAATTATGAAACTATTTTTGTATATATACATACGATCCTGTGACCTGCTTTTCTCACTAACACTTTATATAAATATTTCTGATATCTACATGTGTCATTTATTTATATGATATTTTATTGTGTCATTAGACTATAGTTTGCTTAATAATAGAGTAGCAGCAAGCTGTGTTCCCAAGAGCAGGTCTGTGTATCTGTGAACTTTTTTCTTTATTTTTGAGACCAGAAATGTTTTCTTTGTGCTAATTCTCAATCCATAATTTTAAAGAACTTTTTGTTTTCTCCATTTCTTCTACATTTTGACTCTTATACACTGTTTCATGAGATAATGCCAGCTGTCATACATACTCTTTAACTTCGTTCTTTTCCTTCCCAGTTAAAGCCTTGTTGCCTGTTTACATTCAACAAATAATACTGAGGCTAATAGTCTTGCTTTTGTCATGTTTAATGATTTCCAGCTTTGTCTATTTTGGATTATGATTTTTCTGGCCCTTTCATTTTTATATTTTGCATTCATTTTAATTAAAAAGATGGGGGGGGGTGACACCAAGTAACAAGATAATTAAACATTTGCACTGTACTGTTATATCAATTAAGATAGTGATGGTGCCCAAAGACTGACTGATTGTCAAAAAGCGCCACAATGTGACAAATAGAAATGTCCTTTAATAAATTAAGTGTTGGAGAGAGGATGTAGGAGTGTGTGTTATATTAAGTTGTATAAAATTTGGAACTGTGACAGTCAAGGACTACCCGAATTTAATGTTTGTGTGTGTTTTTTAATAGAAATACTTAAGGCCATTCTTGATTTATAGCCATTTAGTGGGTGATTGCTTGCTTGCTTCCCTCCCACTGAATTCTCTAGATTTGCCCTCACCTCACTTAAATGGAGTTTGCCTCCACTCATTTCTGGAAAGTTTGGTTAAAATTATGGTGGGGGGCGGGGGAGACTTTGTACTCTCCATGACATATAACCTAACCATATTTATTTTCTACAGCATTTTTCTATTTATAGCTGTCTGTCTGCATTCTGATTGGGAACATTGGGCTCATTTTCATCATGCCAACAGTGGTGGTAATGGATGTATCCCTTTCCATGACCCGACCTGTATCTGTTGAGGGGTCTGAAGAATATCAGCGCAAGCACCTAGCAGCCCACGGTTTGACAATGCTGTTTGAGCACATGGCCACGAATTACAAGCTTGAGTTTACAGCCCTGGTGGTTTTTTCATCACTCTGGGAGCTGATGGTTCCCTTCACAAGAGATTATAACACCCTACAGGTATAAAAAGGAATGAGTTATTGTATGTACAAGGTCCAAATTGATAGGGAGCAAAAAGTGTTATCATATTGTACTGAATATTTAGAACTTGGAATTATTGAATGGGTAAGTCTATGGGTATAATATCTAAGTATAGCTATAAGACAAGGATTCACAACTGGTAGGTTTTATGTCTTTGGTAGGGTTATGAGTTAGAGCTGTGAGTTGTTTTCTTCTCTTAGTTTCCTGGAATTCTCTCAGGATGTAGTGGCCCATTCCCTAACGTTCATTAATATTTCCAGCAGAGTCTAGCACAGTGCCTTACCCATAGTGATCAGCCAATAAGTGTTTGTGAAATTAAATTGAATAGTTTAATAATTGCTAGGCAGTTTAGAAATCCAGGGTCAGTGTAGTTTGATTTTTAAAGTGTAAGTAATAAAATTTTGTTAAATCATTATTTTTTATCTAACTTTTTCTAAGTGACTCAATTTTTGTTTTTTTTTTTATTGCACTTGATTTCTTATAAGTGAGTAAACTAAGGATTTTGGATCTCCAGCAGTTCTAAAAGTTAGAGAACTCTTAAAGTAGGTGGTGCAGAGTAATTGTTAAGACCTGGAGTCCTGGAGTCAGACTGACTGGGTTCAGATCTAGACTCTGACACTTCTAGGCATGAGACCTGGGAAAGTTACCTAATTATTCTGTACCTTAGTTTCCTCATTTTAAAAAATAGTTTAAGCCCTGGCCAGTGTAGGTCAGTTTGTTGGGAGTCATCCCATGCAATAGGAAGTTGCCAGTTAGATTCCTGGTCAAGGGCACATGCCCAGGTTATGGACTTAATCCCCGGTGGGGAGCATGCAGGAGGCAGCCTATCATATATGTTGCTCTCTCACATTGATGTTTCTCTCTCCCTCTCCCTCTCTCTCACAATAAATAAATTATTCTTTTTTTAAAAAAATGGGTAGGGTGTTGTGATGAGTAAATGCATGTAAAGTGCCTAGAATGGTATTTAGGATATAGTTAGTTCTCAGTAAATGTTGGCATTTTTGTGATGTATTTAAAAGTGCTTAATTATTTCTTTCAAGGTCCACTTAGAAAGATGAACTTGGTGAGCTGTTCACTCTCACCTGATAAAGAGGACAGAATGAAGGGAACCTCTTTTCATTATCCTTTATAACTGAGGAAGTCTGTTTTACTGTTTTTAAGAACCTATGCTTTGGAACTCTTAGAAACAATGTCTCCTATGTAACATGCATGCTTTTATGTTGTTTTCTGATAACAAATTAAAATGAGCAATTTTATCTTTTATTCAATTAGGAAGCACTAAGTAATATGGATGATTATGATAAAACCTGCTTGGAGTCTGCATTAGTTGGTGTTTGCAACATTGTTCAGCAAGAATGGGGTGGTGCAATTCCTTGCCAGGTAATTATCAATTCTTTTTCATTGCTCTAAGTTAAAAACATTAACCACTGAGGTGCTTTCATTTTCTTTAAGCTCTAATACAGCATGCAATGTAATTTCTACAAACTATGTTATATGCTTGTGGTATCTTTTTAAAAGAAGGCACTAAATCAACGCTAATATGCTCAGAAAGCAGCATAATTGTGCCTTAAAGAAAGCATCCTCCTAGTAAATTGACTTCTTGAAAACTAGTATTATTTGTGTAAAATACAAAGGGCCCACAGTGGAATTTTAGAACACTCTCTAGAAGGGGTGATTTTGATTTTTTGAGTGATAGAATTTTAAACATCAGTACAATGTAGTCTATCTTCATTATCTCAATGTAGCATTTACTCAGCCAACTTTTAACCATCTTAACTATCTGTTATCTAAAAAGTGAGGAGTATGAATGTCAGGAAATCAGTTGCCCTTTACTTAGAGTCTATAGTAGGTCCATATTAGCATCAAATCAGAGCAGAATAGTAGCTGAAAAAGAGAATTGGAAGTTTGCTATACACAGGTGCTTTAAAAAGTGGTAGCATATTTTAAGAAAGGTGCTAAGAGGAAAATTATAATACTGTAGTCTACAACAGAAGTCAGCAAACTTTTCCTGTGTTAGGCTTTGCAGGTGTCCGTGGCAACTCCTCAACTTCGCTATCATAGCATGAAAGCAGCCATAGGTAATAAGTAAATAAATGGCCATGCTGTGTTCCAGTAAAACTGTATTTACAAAAACAGGCAATGGACCATAGTGTATGATTTGTATTTTAGGGTCAAACACAGGCTTCCTCATTAGTGTCAGTGGCATCACTGGTATTTATGCCTGTGGGTAAGGGAAAGGTAGGGGTTGACCTACTCTTCCTAAATGAAGGGCAAAGAAATACGGGAAATGATGGAACTGGTCTTTATCTTGATTGCAGAAGTGGTTACATCACTAAAAGCATTTTTCAGAACTGTATACTAAAAAGGGTGAATTTTATTGCGTGTAAATTATATATCAATATACCCAACTTTTTAAAAATCGTTTGGGTTTTTTTGCTGTAAAACTACCCTGTTTTATAGAGTATGAACTAATGGGTTAATGAAGACCCTGAGCTACTGCTAAAAGGTTAAATCAAATACTTTAGTGGACCCTTGCTAAAAAAAAGCTAGTAAATGCCTTTTAATTAATTTATTTTCAGAAATAAAAATGTTTGGCACCTTACTTCATAAACATTATTTATTTGGTAAATCCATGCAAACAGAATATCTAATTTCCTAACCATATACTAAATAAATGAAGTTTTATTGTCAGTATCTTCTGAACTGGAAGCTAGCAAGTAGCACAATTTCATTTGCTATTTCTTCAGTAGTTTTATTTTTTTAATTAAATATATTGGGGTGACATTGTTTAATAAAATTATATAGGTTTCAAGTGTACAATTCTATGATACCTCATCTGTATATTGTGTGCCCTACCACACAAAGTCAAGTCTCCTCCGTATGATAGTCTTCAGTAGTTTTAGAGAAGAAATTCAGAGAATTTGTGCACCAGAAAGACTTCTGCCTTTTATTGTTTTTTCTTCCTTTGCAAAAAGGAAGAATCTGAATTAGAGATGTATTGTACCCTGAGGACAAGGGCTGGACCTGAATCCACTTTAACTTATTTGATGAGTTTTGGGGTGAACAATTCAAAACACTGGACTAAAGGTGGAAGTTATTAGTGATTATTTTTATAATCAATTACTGTCAAATATTTATTTTAATGTGGAATTTTTTTAACCAACCTTTGAGATAGCTGGACTGTGTCTTTATTATTTGAGTAAAATCTGTCTCATTTTGACATTCCATGAAATATTTCATCATACAGTATTGAAGAAACTAGTGGCAGAAGTAAATCATTAAATAGCAATTTTTGGTACCTAGAAGAGGAAATTACTTTGTAATCAATTTGACTATCTTCCCAAAAGATGACATTGCTCCAGGGGACCTCTATGAAGTAAGCATTCTTGGGTTTTAGAAGTAGGTGCCAATCTTGTTACTTCACATGGTACGACCACCTAATACTTCCTTACTGGCCTGTATTATCAAGTTACTAGGAGAGCTAAGATAATTCTTCTCTGAAATGCTTGGAAAAGGCTGCCCCCCACAGGATTGCTTTGAAGCAATGAAGAAAAGAAAAATGATTTGTAATTATAGTCTCTCATTAGGATATTTTGAAGGGTTTTTCAAATTACAGGTTGATTAAGAATGTATTTTAAAGGTCTTGTACACATGTGGTTAAATGGTTTTTAATAGCCTGGCCAGTGTGGTTCAGTGGTTGAGTGCTGACCTATGAATCAGGTGGTCATGTTTCAATTCCCGGTCAGGGCACATGCCCAGGTTACGGGCTTCATCCCCCGTAGGGGTCCTGCAGGAGGCAGCCAATCAATGATTCTTTCTCATCATTGATGTTTCTATCTCTCTCTCCCTCTTCCTTCCTCTCTGAAATCAATAAAAATATGTTTAAGTGGTTTTAATAAATGTATTTTTAATGCAGTTGTTATTCTAGCTGACCAAGGGTAGAGTTTGTCATCTTTAAAAATAAAGTGTCAAGGTTCAGACTTCTGTGCTGCTAATCTCTAGGGAAACATAAAATAAGCCCTCGTGCCATTTTTTCACATCGGTGCCTTAGGTGCCACCTCCTTATCTAAGAGATAGGATTCTAATTTTAGTACAATTGACTAAGCGCTAGTTATGAATGTTTTTGTCCTTTTTAAAGTTTTCATAGGTAGGTGCTTTTTTAAAGGTTTAATTAGATAAAATACAGTATATTGCATAGATCTTAAGTACACAGTTCATTAAGTGTTGACACATGCATATACCTATGTAACCACTGCTCCAGTCAAAAACATAGAACACTTCCATTTCCCCCCAAAGTTTTCTTATGCCTCTTTCTAGTCAGTATCCCCCCATGCCCACAACCCCTGTTTGGTTTTTCTTAGCTTTGTTTTACCTGTTCTAAAACTTACATAAATAGAATTATACAATGTATCTGTCATCTTTCACTTGACAGAATATTTTTGAGATTTATTCACATAGTTGCTTATATCTTTGCAGAGGTAGATTTTTCAGTATATATGCAATTAGAAATGAAATTGCTAAATGAGGTTGCTTTAAATGAGTATGTTATTTTATATATAAACCTTCTCTCACTTTTTGCAAACAGGTTGTTCTGGTGACAGATGGCTGTCTTGGCATTGGTAGAGGGTCACTGCGGCATTCCCTAGCTACTCACAATCAACGAAGTGAGAGCAACAGGTTCCCACTACCTTTTCCCTTCCCATCTAAGTTATACATCATGTGTATGGCAAATTTGGAGGAGGTAATGCTTTTTACTAAGTTCTTTCCAGTTTGATTAGATATATTTTAGGACTCGGTTTATTTTTTAGTATGTATATCCCCTTAGTATTATATTGCAGATACTATAACATTGAACTCCATTGGTTTCAGCTGAGGCTGATCAGTTATCTTTGAAAAGACCCTAGAGCTCAAATGCTCTTTGAAAGTTAAAAGCACTGCTCCATTTTAGGAAATATAGCTAGAGTTGTTAACCATCCTACTGCCCATCAAGACTCTTCAGATGCTGAAATGTTCTTTTAAATGTTGGATATTTCCATCGTTTAGGAATTCTTAAGTCTATTCCGCCAGAAATATTGATAGGAGTATGCTTTGATTTTTTTGGTAAAGTAACATTACTCTGATGTATGTTTTATTAAACTCTATTTCCTGGTTATACTATTTTCATCAGGAAAGCTATTTTCATCTCAGTTTTTTATCTATAAAATGTAGATGATAATGGTACTTACCAAAGATGTTAGAAATACTTTGGAGGAAAGATACTATGTCAATACCAACCGTGGTCATCTCTGAGAATCTTTGCAAAACTACATCTGAATTAAATAGCTCTATTGGTATCATTTTATATGACATTTCCTCTTTGGTAACTTTGAATCAAAATTGTTATAGTTGTTTTCCTGCTCACATTGTTAAATTGTTACCAGACAAGTCTGGCCTAGGGCCTACTGGTAAAGTGCAGGTTCTTGACTTTGAGTAGGAAAGATTTCACAATGCGAGTCCAGGTGTTTTTGAGAGTATGTTTATTAAAGCTGGAGACATGAAACAAAGGGAGGGCTTAAGGTAGGAAAAGCAATAGATGTTTTTGAGAGTATGTTTATTAAAGCTGGAGACAGTGAAACAAAGGGAGGGCTTAAGGTAGGAAAAGCAATAGGAGAAGAAAATTCAGAGAAAAGTGGTCCTTGGAGACAGGTTCAGGGGGTTAGCCTGGGTCTAGTTGCCACTGCCCAATGCTCTCCTGGTTGCACGTCTCATGGGGTCCCTTAGAGTTTAGGAGAAAAACAGCAAAGATACAAGGCCACAGCATGCTCTTGTGAGAGCACACTCTTCTTCCTTTGCGTTGAGGCTTTTATTCTCTCTAGCCTGCAGGAATCCTAGGGAAGATCTCAGGGGAAGGACTTAACAGAATATTCATTAGCTTCTCAGGTGTGTCCTTCAATAAGTTGATTCATCAAAATGAGCATAAAGAAGTCAGGGGTTATTTTCTGGTTAGTTTGATTTTTAAAAAATGTCATCAAGAACGTCATTGAAGAGGGACCTGACCAAGGCCATTCTGTCCCAGGACAGTCTGAATTATGTAAACCATTTTCCTTGGTTAGGGAAGGTAAAACCTTATGATTCATTAGCTAGCTGTAAGTTGCTCAGATTGTTTGGCCTTGCTTAATTATATTGTCTCAGTTTTCCATATTCTACTTGCCAAGGAATTTCTCTAGCATCTTACTCTTCTGCCTCAAAATCATCTCCATTATATTTATTGCCTGTGTTACTGTGATGGGTATGACCTTGTGTGCTGTTAATAATCTGGCATTTTGTGCTACTTTAAACAACTCAACTGTTTTTGCTTTGTAGCTTCAGAGCACTGACTCCTTGGATTGCCTTGAACGTCTCATAGATTTAAACAATGGTGAAGGGCAGATTTTTACTATTGATGGCCCCCTATGCTTGAAAAATGTTCAGTCTATGTTTGGGTGAGTATGTACTTAGAGCTTTTTTTTGCCTTCTTACAATCCATTGTAATTTGATATCCAGCAATAATATGTATTTTACTATTTCTAATTGTGTCATTTCATTTCCCCCAAGTTTCACATTTTTCAGATAAAATGCTTGGTAGAAGTGATTTTTAAAAGTTCATTCCCTTTTGAATTAAACATGACTAAATCTATGTTGACTTCCTTACAATGACTCGGCAATTTCAAAGATTAACTTGCTTTAGGACTTTTCAAAATTGAAATTGCTTCACCAAAAATGTCAGATTTTGTTCTGTTTCAAAATGGTCACATCGTTTTGGAGTCAACTCAAAGGGAAAACAACTTAGCATCTTGAAAAAATTACTTGAAAAATATTATATGTATCATCTTACTCTTCCTATAATAATTAATCATCATATTCTAGAAAACTGATAGATCTGGCATACACGCCTTTCCATGCTGTTCTCAAGTGTGGCCACCTAACTGCAGATGTGCAAGTCTTCCCCAGGCCAGAGCCTTTTGTTGTAGATGAGGAAATCGATCCTATCCCTAAAGTCATTAACACAGGTAACTTTTTTTAAAACTTCCTTCTTAGTTCTTCTATTATCCTAACTTTTTCCTAACTTTTGACTTTTACTCCTCTCTATCCAAGATAGTTAAAAAGAAATGTAAATTCTGATACGAGGATGCTGTCATCATCAGTTATACACTTTGGATGGGAGGATGCATTGCCTAAGGGGTAGCAGATTAGTAGCCCTTTGTGGTGATGGTGAGGTCATGAATTAATCTCCAATCCTAGATAATAACCCCAAATTCTAGAGTTGGAAATCATGGCCAGATTCATGAGCATTGAAATCCTTGAGGTAATTCTTAATAGATACTAACGTTACTTAGCATCATAATTGAGGTCAGATATGAAGGGCTGGCTTCTAGACTTGGCTGAGTGACACTTCCTGCGTGGCCCTGGACAAGACACTTCCTCTAGTTCTTTCTGGCTAAGTGAGTGGAATCTGTAGGTGATGGTCTCTAAAATCTCAGCTCTGTACCTCTCTAGCCCCGCTGCTTATATTATGACTGAAAGAAAGTGAAGTGGCACTGCTTTTACCTGGTTCATGTTGCCAGTGCTGGGCTTAGCTAAGATTGGCAAAGCGAAGAGTCAAAAGTAACAAGGAACAGTAGAGAGGAGAGTTGTCTCCTGTTGGAGGGTGAACTCCTTGAGCTGTGGGTACACATTAAACCATCCCGGTGTCAGTCACCATTGCACCCTCAGTGCCTAGCATAGTGTCAGATGCTTAGTAGATGTTGACTAGGTAACCAATCAACAGATGTCTAAAATTTAAAATTAAGTGCACAGTAAATGTTCATTTCATTCTTGGCTGTTCAGGTGTTGTTTTTTTGTTAATCCTCACCCAAGGATATTTTCCCATTGATCTTTTAGAGAGAGTGGAAGAGAGAGGGAAAGACAGAAACATCGATGTGAGAGAAATACATCAATTGGTTGCTTCCTGCACACAGGGCCTGCACACCCTGACCAAGGCCTGAGCCGGGGAGGAACCTGCAACCAAGATATGTGCTCTTGATCAGAATCAAACCTGGGACCCGTTGGTCCATAGGCCAACACTCTATCCACTGAGCCAAACCAGCCAGGGCTTGGCTGTACAGTTTTAAGGAGTTTTAGAGTGAAGGACTAAGCACAGGCTTTTTATTTTTTGTGCATTTAGCTCCTGGCTATCTGGAAGTAGGGCATCCATCTCTCATTGTGACGAGACAACCGTGTATTAAGCTATGTCAAACCTTCAGTTAGATTCCCTCCCATCTATTTTGGATGAGTAACTTTGAATAGGTCTTTCTTTCCTATGTAAATAAACTTTTAGTCCATGATCTTGGTAATAGCTTATACTTAAACCCTTTTCTACTCAAATGAAAAATATGTAGCTGCTTTTGCTGATTCATTTGTCATTCAGCTAAAGAAGGTAATGAAGGCAAATCTCCAGAAAAGCAGTTTCCTGAGTCTTACAAGTACAGTGTACACTCCACAAGCCTGATTTTTTTTAATTGTTTTGAAAATATGAGTGTGTTTATATGCCTACAAGACTGAAAAGCAATTCAGTAAAATATATGTGTGTGTGTGTGTGTGTGTATATATATATATATGCACACATACATACACTGTATGTGTGTACACACATACAAATATATATATATTTGTTGTTGTTAATTCTCATTGATTCTTTTAGAGAGAGTGGACGGGAGGGAGGGAAGAGGAGAGAGAGAGAAACATCAATGTGAGAGAGACACATTGATTAGTTGTCTCCTGCATATACCCCGACTCGGGCCAGAGATGAACCTGCAACTCAGGTATGTGCCCTTGGCTGGGAATGGAACCCAAAACCCTGGTCCCCAGACTGACTGTCTGACCATTGAGCAACACCGGACAGGGCCAATAAAATATTAATAGAGGTTTCCTTTGATGATAAATAATGAGTAATGTTAGTTTCCTTCTTTAGAATTTTTAGTGTTTTCCAGGCTTTTATACTATTTATATGATCAGGGGGGAAAAAACCTTAAAACTTTTAAAAAGTATTTTGGGTTACAACTTTTATTTTTTACTTATTTTATGTTTCCAACAAATATTTTTGGTCTTTAATAGGCCTCTCTAAAACAAAGAAACCATTGTCATATTTAGACTGCTAGCTTGATTTTGCAGGGAATGTATTTCTTTCTCAGAATAGCTTTACCCTCCAAGGTTGCTTGGTTGGAGTTGTGGAAGTGTTTGACTATGAGGCCTGGTGGGCTTGAAAAATCCCTGATGATATAGAGGGATTTGGCCTTTACCTTTTGCTTTGGCTGAGGATCTACCCTCATAAAAAATAAAGTTTAGCTGATTTGTCATATAATTTAATTTAAATTCATTAAATAAGGATAATTATTCTTATTTTCTGAGCTACTTAAATGAAAATGTGTTAGTTATCTAGGAAGACTTCTAATAACCTTCCTACCCATCATACTTGAATTCCATATCTAAATTAAACATTGTGTTTATGAAATCTAGTACATAGAAAATAATGTACTTTCCTATAGAACTAATTAATTCTATGTTGATTTATCCTTTTCAGATTTGGAAATAGTGGGGTTTATTGATATAGCTGATATTTCCAGTCCTCCAGTTCTGTCCAGACATCTGGTCCTACCTATAGCACTTAACAAAGGTGAGTTCTCTTCCTGTTCAGTGATACATATGAAGTATCTTATTGTCTAAAGTTATTCTTAAGTGTCAGATAATAGAATAGCCCATTTTGCAGAGTTTTAGGGAAAGGAATAGTGATTGGTTTGGATTGAATTTTTTAAAAATGGAATATTGCCTCTTCTACTAGAAAACTAATTCTGCAGCCTTACACTGTGGAAAGCATTTGACACATATTTATTGTGTATTGCTTTATTAATTTACAGTGGAGGTCCTCTTTAGAGATGACAATGCTTTGTCCCTAATCCAAGGCTCTGCCTTTCCTGGTAGAAGCATGGCAAGGAAGCCAAAGTGATTCTTAGAGGTTGCCTGATAAATATGGAGTGAAATACAGCTCCATAAGGGGAGAAACTACACCTGTTCTCTACCAGTGATACTCAGTAAATACTGTGTAATAAAATGGAAGAATCCAGCCCCTTGGGAGGCTTTTTATTACTATAGAATAAAGCTCTCCAGGAACTATAAAGTCATGTCCCCCAAATTAAACATCCCTATGGAGAATGTTAGTCTCTAGCACTTGAAACTTCTCTTTTCTCTGTTCTAGGCTGACCATCCACTTTATGTTCACCAGCTCTCTCCAAGAAGCATATGTAGTCAGTCAGGTTTCTACTTACTGAGTTATGATCACATTCAGTTGATGGCGGTTGTCTCAGTTGTAAAATTGGCTATTCCATAACCCTCAATCACACATGCACAGACGGAATCTTGAAATATGCCCAAAGATGGCTTATAGTGATTATTGTTCATAATTTACTTTATTGTTCTTGATATTAATATTGATATCCAAGTTTTCCTTACTTCTAAGGCCTAGAGATGGCGGGAAAGGAGGCAGGGATTCTGCATGCCCATATATATATTGCCAAGAAAGTGGACAAAATGAAGAATTTATGTAGGGGAACAGTGGAAAGAAAAGTGTGGGAAGGCAGAATGGGGCCATGTCTTAAGGGCTTTTGAATGTCAAGGTAAACTGGGCAAATTCTTCCTATTGAATTAAAAAGTCTTTGCATAAGATTGAGTGGGCAGATAGTTCCAAAGAGAAGTTAATTGTAGGAAGATCCATTTGTCAGCAGAGTGCATGAGAGAACCTGGTGTTGGAGAGTCAGATCAAAAAGTTTATGGAGTAACACTCTTCATCTTGGGTGGGGGGGAGGCTCGCCTCCATGTGCTCCTGAAGGCTGTCAGTTGAGAATACTCTTGCTATCTCTGAATATGTGGTTTTGTTTAGAAGGTACGTGAAACCCCCAGAGAGCACCTAGCTGAGTGTCCTAGTAGAAGCTGTGGAAAGCTAATTTTTGCGTGTATCAGCTTCACTAAAATGTAATTCTTATACCAGACATTTCACCCATTTAAAGTATACAAATCAGTACATTTTAGTATAGTTATAGAATTGTGCAACCATCACCACAGTTCATTTTAGAATCAGAATTTTAAAACCCCTAAGCCCTTCATCTTCCTCAGGTAACCACTAATGTCCTTTCTGTCTCTATAGAGTTGCCTCTTCTGGATGTTTCATATAAATGGAATTCATAAACATGTGAAAACTGATTTTTATATGGATATAGGAACACCAGAATATGAGTTTTTCTTTTATAAATCCATTTACTTTCCTTCCAAGGCTAGAAACAGCCAACAGTATAATTGCAGTTTGGATTTTTGTAGCACATCTCAGTCTGACCTGTTTTCTCTTCTTTTCACAGAAGGTGACGAGGTGGGTACTGGCATAACTGATGATAATGAAGATGAAAATTCAGCCAATCAAATTGCAGGCAAAATACCCAACTTCTGTGTCCTGCTCCATGGCAGCCTAAAAGTGGAAGGAATGGTAGCAATAGTTCAGCTAGGGTAAGAAATGTTATTTTCCTTTGGTTGAGTGAAAGGGAGAATCAATTAACAAAGTGAAGTTTTCCCAAACTTTTCTGAAAGAAATAGAAAGGTCCTTGTCTCCTTTTTCCTCTCCCTGCCATACCCTTCCCACCTACCATCACCTTCTAAATTGCTCTTTAAATTATCCCCTAGAGCAGGGATGGGGAACCTTTATTCTGCCAAGGGCCATTTGGATATTTATAACATCATTCGGGGGCCATACAAAATTATCAACTTAAAAATTAGCCTGCTATATTTGGTCAAACATTTAATTAACTCACTCCTCATGCCTTGGCAGGGCCAGACCAAATGATTTTGAGGGCCTTACACAGCCCTCGGGCCAGACATTTCCCACCCCAACCCTAGATTAAGTAAAAAAGCCTTTTAATTATATTGCTTTTAGATTATAGAAGTTTTCTTCTATTTTATCTAGGAACCTAGATTCAGTTATAGCAATGCTACCAACTTGCTATTAGGATCTTATGCAGTGTTCACAGACTCCTCAGCTACAAAATGAGGAGGTAGAATTAAATGAAAAAAGATGCTGATAAAATTGATTGAACTTTTACCATATGCCAAGCACTCCTTAGGCTCCTTATATACGTTAACATATTTAATCTCTCACATACACTACATAGGAGGTATTGATATTATTCCCATTCTGTAGATGAGAAACTGAGGCTTAAGAGGTCAAGGAACTTGCTCAAGGTCACATGACTAGTAAATGGAAGAGCCAGGATTCTTACCTATGGATTTTTACTCCAGAGTCCATGCTTGTAACCACTCTGCTGTATTTCTTCCCTCAGAGGAAAGCCCTTCTAGCTTCTACATTCACTGCAGTCTCAAATTTGCAAAGCTACCTGCTTCCCTTGCTATAATACCTGTTGTTAGAAAAGAAGAGGTGACTGAGCTTTTTCTGGCCATTGCCTGGGATAGACTGATATGAGATCAGAGGAAGCATGGCTCCATTTCTGCTTGAGTTAAAATTAGCACAAAAAGAAGAATGTAGCTCTTTTTAGGTATTGGTTTGCTGTATTTCTTGGTACCCAAACTTACTTGCACTGGCTCTGAAAATGAGAATCACCTGGTGCCCTTTGCGAATTGGGAGCAGAGCTGGGTGATGGCTTTGTGCCTTTTGTTACAAGGTCTTCTCTGTGTTGGTGCTGCTGTGAATGACTCATGGAGGCAGCTGAAAAGACCAATAGATCGCAGCCCTTACTCCCCACCACCCCTGCAGCTGCCTCCTGCCCTTGTGATTTTTTTCTCTTTTAAAACTGCTTTTGCCCTAGCCAGTTTGGCTCAGTGGATAGAGTGTCGACCTGCAGACTGAAGGGTCCCAGATTCGATTCCAGTCGAGGGCTCCTACCTCAGTTGCTAGCTCCTCCCTGGCTGGGGCCCTGGTCGGGGCACGTGCAGGAGGCAACCAATCGATATATTTCTCTCACACTGATATTTCTTGGGCTTTCCCTCTCGACTGCTTTTGCCCTAGTCGGTTTGGCTCAGTGGATAGAGTGTCGACCTGCAGACTGAAGGGTCCCAGATTCGATTCCAGTCGAGGGCTCCTACCTCAGTTGCTAGCTCCTCCCTGGCTGGGGCCCTGGTCGGGGCACGTGCAGGAGGCAACCAATCGATATATTTCTCTCACACTGATATTTCTTGGGCTTTCCCTCTCTTCCACTCTCTCTAAAAATCAATGGAAAAATATCCTTGGGTGAGGCTTAAAATAAATAAACAAATAAATAAATAATTGCTTTTGAGTTCCATATCTATATAATTGAATAAAAATACATGTCCCAGAGGAATGGTGATATTAGGGGGCAGCAGTATGCATTTTCAGGTTTAGGATTTGGCTTTAGTAAAAGTAATATACCTGATTTCAAAGCTGAAGCTTATGCCACTCAAGAGAAAAACACAGGTTAGACTTATTTAACTTGACAGTCACAGGCTTGACATTTTGATTTTCCATCTTCTCTCCATCTAGTCCTGAATGGCATGGAATGCTCTACTCCCAAGCTGACAGCAAGAAGAAATCAAACCTCATGATGTCCCTCTTTGAGCCTGGCCCAGAACCTCTCCCATGGCTAGGGAAAATGGGACAGTTGGGTCCTATTTCAGGTATAACGCAGATCAGATTTTATTGATCTTGACTTTGTTTTCCTCTCTGCTGTTCTGAATGGCTCTGTGTAGTCAGAGAGCTGCGTGATCTCCCTATGGGTGTGCTGTGGTCTCTGATGCTGGATATGTAAATGGAGAACCCCAGAGAGTTTGATGTTTGAACTTTTTAACTTTATAACTCGGGAAACCATCATTTAGGTTGCTTTAATTACATAGAAGCGCACTAACTGCTTAGAGTAAAAAAGCTACTCTCCATAAACTTATTTTTCTTTAATGTAAAATTTCCTTAGTGTAATTTTCAACCCAGATAATCCCCAGTCATTCCTAGATAATGTAATCCCCTTCCTTCTTGGAACTGTTTTCCTTGGCTTTCCTAACATTGCATTTTCCTGGTACTTAACCTTTTTCTTCAGCAACTTTTCTTTTTCTGGCATCTTTTTTTTCTTCTTGCCTCATGATGTTCTTTGCCTTTTTCTCTTGCATTAATATACTCTCCTGGTTATTAAATCAGCCATTATAGCTTCAGAGTCCCCCAAATCTACTAGTATAACTAGTCCTGCTTGATCTTTCCCTGGAATTTGCATATTGTATTTCCACTTCCCATTGGACTTCTCCACCTGGATATTCTGCCACAGTCCTAAGCTCAGTATGTTTGTTATAGAAACCGTTGTCTCACCCCTTCCCTCTTAAACTGTTCCTTCTTCTGATTTTCCTACTCCTTCTGATTTAGGCCTTTTACCTTTGTACTCCTAGGTACTCAGGTTCCAACTATAGAGTCATCCTTAAGTCATTTGGGCCCATTTCACTTTCAGGAACATCTACCAAGCAACCTATTTTGTGCCAGGTCTAGGGGATAAAAGAGTTAGCAAGAGTTACTCAAAGTCTAGTGGAAAGGTGAACAATAAACACAGGCGGACACAAGGTCAGAGTTGGCCTGCAGGAGAGGAGGATCACCTCTGCCTAGAGGACTCAGGAAAATCTCCTCACAGGACCCTGGCCAACTTTTTGGGGGAAAAAGAAGACAGAGGAATTTGGTGAGCCAGTGAAGGGAGAAAGGGCATCCTGGACAAATGGAATCCTTATAGAAAAGAAAGGAGCACAAACTGGGGGAGGGGTTGGAAGGCCAGAGGGTAGGTTAGAGGTTGGCAGTGGCTGGAGCAGGGCAGGCCTCATCTGAAATGTGAAGAGCTGAAACTTTATTCTGCTGATATTGGAAAGCCACCAAAGGGGAGTAATATATCAGATCCTTCTATCGGTAATGAGAACAGTGGAGGTACCAGTTAGAAAACTTTGTAGTCTAGGTACTAGTGCCCCCTGGTATTGTGCAATATGACCGAAATCCAAGTGAGTAATAGTAAATTTGCATTTAGAAAGATAACTGAAATGTGGATTTGAAAAGGTGAGGACATCATGTAGTAAGAAGTCGACTATTATAGTCCTGGAGATGTGAAGGTGAGAGCCAGAACAAGGGGTAGTGGCTGGGGAAAATGGATGGGATCCAGGCAAGTCATACTAGTATTTACAAAGAAGAATAAAGGAAAGAGAAGAATTAAGAATGATCCCAGGTTTCTGACCTGGGCTGCAGGGTGAAAGGTGGTACTATTAATTAAAACAGAAAACATCCCTGACCGGTTTGGCTTAGTGGATAGAGAGTCGGCCTGCGGACTGAAGGGTCCCAGGTTCGATTCCGGTCAAGGGCATGTACCTTGGTTGCAGGCACATACCCAGTAGGGAGTGTGCAGGAGGCAGCTGATTGATGTTTCTCTCTCATCGATATTTCTATCTCTCTATCCCTCTCCTTTCCTCTCTGTAAGAAATCAATAAAATATATATTTTTTAAAAACACACAAAAAAACAGAGAACAGAGGAGGAAGAGTAGATTTGGGAAGGATTTCTTTTGTGCATGTTGAGTTTATGCCTATGAGATTCAGATGGAGGTGCCTAGAGACAATTCCTATATGAACCTACAGTTCAGGAGAGAGGGCAGAGTTGGAAATACAACTTTTCATTATAAGCACATCACTGATTGTTAAAATGGTGAGAATGAAGGAGATTACTTAGGTCCAAAATTTTCGTGTGCAAAAATAAACCTGGAGAACTTGTATAAAAATTCTGTTTCCTGGGCCCCCACATACAGAGATTCTGATTCAGTAGGTCTGGATTCAGGCCCAGGAACTTACAGTTTTAATATTACCCACATGATTACAATCCAGGTGATCTACACTCTATAAGAAGCTCTAGCCTTAGCGCAAAGTATACAGATTAAGGGAAAAAAGAGAGCCAAGGACCAAACCCTTAGAAAGGGACAACTATTGGGGACAGTGGAAAGGGTGCTAGTAAAGGAAAATGAGAGGGAACAGGCAGATGAAAGGGAAAGTAGAAGTGATGTCCCGAAGCCAAGAGAATAGAGAGACTCAAGAAGGAAGTACAGTGTCTCGTACACTTGTGCATGCTTATCAGCTGAGCTCCACGAATGCCTTTTGCCATTGAAGCCTAGAGAAGATTTGGACTAAATATAGGCCCAGATGGTAGGCCAAGGTTCAGCAAGCTTTTTCAGAAAAAGAACAAGATAGTAAATATTTTAGGCTTTGCAGACCATGTGGCCTCTGTCATAACTACTGAGCTCTGCCATTGTAGCACAATATATGCATAAATGATAGTGACTGTATTCCAAAAAATGTTACTTATGGACACCAGAATTTGAATTTTATATAATTTTCATGTACATTTCATGAAATATTATTCTCTTGATTTCTTTGCCCAGCATTTAAAAACATAAAAACCATTCTTAACTCAAAAACAGGCAACAGGCCATAGTTTGGCTACTGAGCTAGGATCCAGGGGCTGGGGTTTTAACCTCACGCTGGGACAGGAGACATGACTTTGGTTCCAAACAAGACAAAGAATTGAGCTCTGTGAGTAAAGCTAAGAATGTGGAAGGTCTACCCTCTCAGTGAGAGGATGGCAAGAAAAATTCTACACATTTTTTTTCTACCCACTTTTCTGGATATAAAGAAATTTAAAAGTCTTCTATGAGAAATTGAAGCCCAAGTCCTTCACCATGCAGACTGATGCTGCCCATTCTGAAATGGGGATTTCTAAAACCAAACAATACAGAACTGGTTCTGAAGCAATGAAACCTTGATGCATCCTCCAGAAGGCCATACAGTGGCTCTGTAGGGACACCTCTACAGCCCAGGGAAAAAGGACTTCCACAGAAAAACCCCCGCTGACGATGAGATCATGATTTGAAAAACAGTTTCCAAATCATAAGAGTATTTTATCTCCTTTGAAGGAAGGCCAGCAGAGTGACTAGCCTCCTGAGAACTAAATCTGAAACAAACTGTGGAATGAGTGTTTTAAAGATTGAAGAGTTTTAGGAAGGACTAGAAACCATGAGGAAAGAAGAGGACACTATAAATCAGAGTCATTTGATCTTGACAGGACATGATTGGTGGCTTCATAAAAGTAGCTTCAGTAGATAGTTAGCCAGGACATAGGTTGAGGAATGAATTAGATATGAGGAAATGAAGATGACAAGTTTGGCCACCAGCAGTTGGAGGAGAACACAAGGGCAGAGGAAGTCCGTGTGTGTGTGCGTGTGTAACGATTCCTCACCTTCATCTAGCCTCTCTAGCATCCTTACATTCATTCTGCCTTTCATTGTCACTGTTTGCCTTGTTCTGGCTTTCTTTACCTTTCACTTAGGTCAGAGGTCAGCTAACTATGGCCTGCAGGTCAAACTAGCCCACTGTCTGTTTTATAAGTAAAGTTTTATTACAAATGGCACACTCATTCCTTTCGTATTGTCTATGGCTGCTCTCCTGCTCCAGTGGCAGAGTAGAGTAGTTATAACAGAGACCATAGCACCCACAAAGCCCTTAACAGAAAAAGTTTGCTCACCCCTGGCCTAGACTATTGTGATAGTTTTCACCACAGACGCCTGTCCATAATCTAAGATAGTAGCATTCACATTTCTTTCTGATCTGGCTTCCAACCAGCAGTGCTTGGCTTGTTACATGCATTCTTCATTCAGATTGGACTGCTGTTTACTCTGCCTTATATTCAAGTTATTATTTTCCTCCCTCTGGGTCTGTTCTTCTTTTCAATGAAGGTAATAAGAGCTTTTTTTTTTTAAATTTAAAAGGTTTATTGAAAGTGTTGCCTTGTTATACCTGAAGCTTTCCCTTTGTTTGGTTTCTGGTTAACTTCAGTTAGAATAGCAGTGATTACTAGGTACAATACTGGTTCCATATACAAGTCCAAATATCATGCATACAAATATGTGTTGTTGTTTTTTTATTGTCTAAAGTTTTACATATGTCTCCTTTTTCCCCAATTGACCCCCCCCCCCCCACCATTCCCCCCCCCGGGCACCC